TCAAGCAGAACACAGCAAACCCCAAGACCAATAAACAGAGACCAAGACTCCCAACCAATCAGGATGAAGAAAAAATCATTCTGGCACAGCGTAGGCTAGCACCAAATTTAAAACAGAAATGGCTGTGAAATCTGACTCATAGACGAACACTACACAGAAGCCTGATGATGGCAGATGAGATTCTGCCGAAACGTTGCTACAACTTTAAAAGCACAACTATAATGACGTGGGAAAATACCTGAACAAAGCTGAATACCATACATATAAATACCCGCAAAAACTTAAGAAAACAAAAACATAGTTATGAATACATGGATACATATAAGAAAAATAAAAAATATATAAAAGAAACAATAGGACAGGGACGGTAGGCACGTTGGCATGCTTATGCACGCCCCCTACAGACCTCTTAGGAAAGGGGTGAGGTCAATAGTAGATAGTCTAAGGTTAAAGTTTTCGGGATTTGGGGAAAAAACCAGTGTCAGGAAGAGTATTCCAGACATTGACCACTCTGTTGCTGAAGTTGTATTTCCTGTAATCAAGTTTGGTGCGATTAACCTTGAGTTTGTATCTATTGTTTGCTCTAGTGTTGTTATGGTTGAAGTTGAAGTATTCATTGACAGGTAGGACATTGCAATGTATGATTTTATCTATTTTTTTCTATGCTTAGATCGGACAGAAGGCGGCATAGTTCTCGGTTTTCTAGGTCTAGAATTTCAAGTCTGGTGGCATAAGGTATTCTGCAACGAGTAGAGGAGTGGAGAACTCTTCTTGTGAAATATTTCTGGACTTTCTCAACTGTGTTAATATCAGATACGTAATGTGGGTTCCAGACTGATGAGCTGTATTCGAGTATTGGTCTAGCAAATGTTTTGTATGCTCTAGTTATTAGTGTAATATTACCAGAGAAAAAGCTACGTAAGATTAACAACTCTTAACGCCTTTTTGGCTATGTAGTTACAGTGGGCTCTAGCACTTAGGTCATTTGAGATGAGTACTCCAAGATCCTTGACAGAGTTTGGATCATCAACAAGGTCTTGACTATTCAGCCTGTATTTTATTTTCTGAATTTTTTTGCCAATATGTAGGACAGAGCATTTATTTGTTGAGATTTGAAGTTGCCATTTGTTTGACCATTCTGATATATAGTCAAGGTCTTTTTGAAGGGTAGCAGTATTGTCGGTGGTGTTGAATAGCTTTACATCATCAGCGAAGAGAATGCAGTTGCTCTTAATGTGATCACAGAGGTCATTTATGTAGAGTATGAAAAGAGTTGGTCCTAGAACACTGCCTTAGGGGACACTACTGTTGACAGGTACAGAATTTGATAGGAAGCTCCCAATTTTGACCATTTGTTGTCTGTTTGACAAAAATGCTTCTATCCAGTTATGCAGGTGTCCAGAGATACCGTAAGATTTTAGTTTTAGGAGTAGTTTGTCGTGTACCACTGAAACAAAGGCTTTACAGAAGTCTATATAGAGTGCTTTGCCCTGATCGAGTTGTGTAGTCCATATGTTTTTGCAGTGTAAGAGTTGCAGATTACATGATAGTTTTTCCCTAAAACAAAATTGTTTATTAGAGAGTAGGTTGTTTGTTTCTAAGTGGAGAATGATGGATTAGTTAATAATTAGTTAATAATTGATTCTATGACTTTACAGGTGACGCAGCATAAAGAGATTGGTCTGTAATTTTCAACTAGGCTGGGGTCTCCCTTTTTGAAGATGGGGATGACCGTGGCTTGTGACCATAGTTTTGGCAAGGAGCTGGTCCTGAAAGATTTTTCAAAGATTATGCTCAGAGGTTCGGCTATGGCAGTGGGTAGCTTTTTTAAGAAGCAGGCACATATTCTGTCCGGTCCAATAGATAGAGATGGTTTTAGATTGCGCAGTGCTTTTTCAACAATGTCTCCTGTAAAATCGATATGTATTAGATCATTGTAGTTGTCTGTGGTTCGACAAGGAAATACTGGGCATGATCCATTGCTGTTTACAAATACTGAGCCAAAGAATGTGTTAAATGTGAGAGGGATCTTAATGGACAACCAGTTAAATATGAGCCAGCAATGTGCAGCTGCAGCCAAAAAAGCCAATACAACTCTAAATTGTATTAACAGAGAGATACAATCAAGAGTGAGGTATTAATGTCTCTCTATAAAGCTTTAGTAAGACCACACCTAGAACTTTGCATCCAGTTTTGGTCACTACACTATACAAAAAGATATTGAGACTCTTTAAAAAAAAAGTGCAGAGAAGAGCAACCAGGATGATTAGGGGACTGGAAACTAAAACATGAAGATTACAGGATCTGGGCATGACTAGTCTAGTGAAGACCAGGGGACACATGATACAATGTTCCAAAACCTGAGGGGCTGCCACAGAGAGGAAGGGGTCAAGCTATTTTCCAAGGCACCTGAAAGCTAGACAAGGAATAATGGATGGAAACTGATCAACGAGAGATTCAACCTAGAAATAAGGAGAAATTTTCTGACAGTGAGAACAATCAACCAATGGAACAGCTTGCCTTCTGAAATTTTGGGAGCTTCATCACTGGAAGCTTTCAAGAAGAGATTGGACTGCCATTTGTTAGAAATGGTATAGGGTCTCCTGTTTGGGCAGGGGGTGGGTGGAGGTTGGACTAGATAACCTACAAGGTCCCTTCCAACTCTGTTAATCTGTATTTTGTAGATGAGATACTGAATACTTCTTTGCCAAGAGTTCCTGATCCTCAAAATTGTGCAGCCTGCAAATTTTCTAACATACTATCTTATATGCTAATTATTACAATCTTAATTTTTTTCCTGCCTTTACTATATGGCAATATTTTAACATCCCAGTAGATTTAACCACATTTGTAAGCTTAAAGGCTTGGCATCATTTCTGCTAACTTTAAATGCTTATTTTATTAAGCAACTGCATTATCAATAGGTGGCAGTATTTAGCTGACATTGATAGGTCCTGAAAAAAAGATGTTGGAAAGTTACATTTTAAATCAGGGAATTAAAAAAAACCTGAAAAAAACAAATAGGAAATCACTTCCCTATTTGTTTTAACCAAGGAAGTACATAGATATGTCCATGTCATCACCATTAATCAAGATTAATCAAGACTACATCTACATGGAGGGAAGTAAGCAATGCGGTATCACAAGGTTCCATCTTAGGCAGGGTACTCTTCAATATCTTCATGAATGACTTAGATAAGGGAATAGAAGGAGAACTCATCAAATTTGCAGATTAAGCTGGCAAGAATAGGCAACACCCCAGAAGACAAGTGCAGGATCCAAAAAGATCTTAAATACTTAAACAATGGACCCTATCCCCCCAAAAAATGAATTTTAATGTGGGCAAAAGCAAGGTTTTACACTTAGGTAGGAAAAAACAAAGATACAAGTATAAATTAGGTGAAACCTGGCTTTAAAACAGTAACTGTGAGAGGGACCTTGGAGTCCTACTGGAGGTTTGCTTAAACACGACCCGGCAGTATGTTGCAACAGCCAAGAAAGCGAATGTAATCTTTGGTTGTATAAACAGAGGCATAGAATCCAAATCATGTGAAGTATTAGTACTGCTTTATAAATCCTTAATAAAGCCACATCCGGAACACTGTATTCAGTTTTGGTCACCACATCACAAAAAAAGATGTTAAGACTGTGAAAAAGTGCAAAGAAGTGCAACTAAGATTATTACAAACCTGGAGACTAAAACATATGAAGAGCAATTGCAGGATTTGGGTTTGGCTAATCTAGACAAAAGAAGGACTAGAAGGGACATGATAGCAGTATTCCAGTATTTGAGAGGTTGCCAGAAAGAGGAGGGGATCAATTTATTTATGAAAGCATCAGAAGGCAAGACAAGAAACAATGGATGGAAATTAATCAAAGAGAGAAGCAACTTGGAATTAAGGAAAATTTCCTAACAGTGAGGACAATTAACCAGTGGAATCATTTACTGTCAGAAGTTGTGGGTGCTTCATCACTGGGATTTTTAAAGAAGAGACTGGACAGTCACTGGTATAGAAATGGTATAGGGTCCGGTTGATTGATTGAAGATGGGCTTGAGATTTTATTACTAATACAATAGTATTTTATTTTATTAGTATTGATTTTATTAACATATGACTAAAAAGTTACATTGAATCTCTCAGTTTGTGGGAATGCATTGGCATGTGAGATACAAATATTGTTTGCTTTAGTCCAAGCTGCAGGATTTACATTTTAAAACAATTCAGTTTATGAACAGGAAAACAGAAATCTGAAGAACAAAAAAAAAAAAACCTGTTTGAATTCTACTTTCAAATTGTAAATCTGTAAATACTAGTAAAATATGAGGAAGTAATTTGCCTCTTTGAGTAATTAAAAAAAATGGGATAAAAATAAAAAATGCTGATTAACTCTTGCATTCAGGTTAGGAAATAAGTATATCAATTCTACTATATCTACAAGACATTATTATTTTGCTCTGCTGTCATCGCATCAGAGAATTTTCTATATGGTAGCAGATTCGGTTAATACTTTAATGATTTTTTGGGGGGAGGGGGAAGAGTTTGGGGGAAACGAATTAAGGAGGATTCTCATTCAGCTGCCTCTGCCGCTCCACCACACGGTCCTTGGGACCATGTAAGCAGGCCTCCTCCTATTTTCCACTGGGTTAATCAGCAGGCACTAGGACCAGGAAAAGGGTTTCTCTGAACCTTTTTAACGAGTCCGGGTCCCTTGTTAAGACTTTTTGTTGCCCGGGCACGTTTTTCAAATAGTTTCTTGCAGTCTTTGATATTCAACTCGCAAGAGAGGCAGGACAGAACACCTCCTGTCTTTTGAGAGAGATTTCGCTAATCTCAGAAACGTACAAACTACAATCCCGCAAGGATTCTGAGATTTTTTTTTTTTTTTTGGGAGGGGGGCATCCTAACTCAGGCCGCTCTTTTACACGTCGACGGAATTGATGCTGCTTGGCTGGAGTCCTCTCGGCCGCCTCTATTTTAGCAAAGCGCCTCCTCCGGCCCGTTCTTTCCTCTCCCTCCCATCGCAGCGTGCAACCTAGAAGTGCAGCTTTCTCTCTCCCTTTTCCACAATTGTGCCTTCGGGGAAGACCATGAATTTGCTGTGCCTTATCTTTGCCCTGAGTTCTTTGGGGGTTCACAGCTTGGGAGACCCCGGTCCCTTAGAGGATGTCGTCATTGATAGATACTACATCCCCAAAGTGTGCTTGCGAGAAGTTCAGATGGGTGACTTCGTCCGCTACCATTACAATGGGACCTTTCAAGACGGCGCCAAGTTTGACTCCAGGTACTGGCTCGGTAAATCCAGAACAACTGACCAAGGGAAAAGTCAGGGCTGTTTTTTAAAACTACTGTTTTTTTTTTTGTTTGTTTTTTGTCGAGACCAGGGATGCGCTGGTCACGAACAGTGCCGTGGGTTCATTATTAGCCCTATTAAATCTGAATTCCAAAAGGTTAAACATATTACTTATTAGCAGAAGTCGAAGGAAAAAAGTTTTTCCTATAAATTGCAATGCAAAAACAAAAGAAGTTACATTTTGTTCTTCCTTTTGTAGAGTATTTCTGAAATACTAAACTCAGCAACAACAAAAAAAATCTAAAAAGCAAAGAAGACCACACCCTTTCTCTCTTTTTCCCCTGTTTTGCTGGACTTCAATAAAGAAATTTGGCATTGCTGAGCATTCACATCAATTCTGTGTGACTGCACAGCATTTGTGTTGCAGAAGACAAAGCACGGAGGAATGTTATTGGAATAATAAAGGGTTAATTTTATAAATTCCCAGTTCTGATTGAGAAAGAAGGTGGGACTGGCTTGGGAACCAGAAATTTGAGTGAAGGAGAGATAAGATGGATTCCTGTCTTATAATGGGTTGAGATGCCAGTGCAAAATGGTGGAGAATTCAATGTGGCAAACTTTTTAAAATGTATTTAAATCTACTAGCTTAAATAGGTGGTGAAATGTTAACCTGTCATATGATTGTCAACCATATCTTGACCAGAATATTAGAAACAGCTTGTTCTTTGTTGAACAATTAGATAAAAGCCATCTATGCATGCTTCCTTTTATCTCTGCAAATAAAAGAATGAGAGATTTGAAAAGAGAAACACTCAGAACTGCAGTGTTTAAAAAAAACACAATTTGATTATAATTACATCTACTATTCATGTCAAACTATGTTTGCTGAAGATTTTGATGTGGAAACTTTTGTCTTTAATTATTTTCACAATTATTTCTTTTAAAAATGGATTTAAGTTAGGATTGCACCATGCATTAATCCCTCAATATCTGGTTGTCTAATGGCATTATTCTGTTAAACATCTATGCAGAAGTAGTTCCCATTGAATTTAGTGAGATTTACTACTGGAGAAATGGATAGAGTTTAATTCTGCAACTGCTATAAGATTCCCATTCATTCAGCATCTGAGAAACTTAGGAGCAGGGTTTCTGGTCATAATTTGCTTGATTTTTTGCCCTAGCACCCCAAATTAAACACACATATTTGCACTGCCTGGGATTTCTGAATATGCAGCAAGCCTTCTCTAATTCCATGCTTAACATTTGTATTTGACTACAACTCTTATCGTTCTTATTATGCCACTCCACCGTCCCAGTGGCACCCGAATGGGTAAATTAAGGGAAAGGCTTCTATTAGTTATATTTGCATTGGCTAAGAGCCATTAATTAGCTGGTCTTCCACTAAGACTTTTTTAAAAAAGTATTTATGTAAGCATCTTTCAGTAGATCAATCCAGTCCAACATATTACTATTATATTCATAATAACCCCATGAAATAAAGTACCAGGCTTTTAACTATGTTAAAAAGTTGAAAATAAATTCTTTTGCAGTAGCTGGATATAGTACTCTGTTAGTTCATCATCAGTGAGTGTGAGTCTACTGTAACTTTTACTTATACAACTATATAGTATTCAAAAGTATTACAACATTTCAATATTTCCTTCAAGGGTTAAATAATATCCTTAATGTTGAGCTTTGATTTTTATCTAGCCAGAGTCCTCAGACTATTTAAAAGAGACAGTGGGTTGCAAAGGGCTGCCAAAGAGGTAGTGTCTATAATGGAATCTGCAATTTTGGTTGTAGACGTGTCACCTCATGAAACCATAACAGAACTGAAAAGTTAGTTTTGAATGGGTAGATTTTGCAAGCTAAAATTCAATTCCTATTCCAAATACATGAAGTAGGCTGCAAGCCCTATAAAACGCATGCACATTTATGCCTACTTTAAATTTTCAGAATATTTTTGGTAAATAAAATTTTGTTCCTGTTTAAACTGCAATTTTGGAAAGGCCATGGTGACTTAGCTAGCCTTTCCTCCAGCTGCATTCGGAATGTAAGATTCTGCCATTCTGCTCTCAGCAAAGGAAGCTAGAGATCATATTTCACTTTCTTCTTTCTATGCTAGAAAAACAGGGGTCAACTTTAGAAGAAAAGATTTGTGGAATTGCTTTCTTACTAAAACATCCATCCATGATCTGGATAAATAATTAGGTTGAAATACAACTCTGTTAAACAGATGGATTCTGCTTTTGCAGCATGATAATTATAGTAGCTCTGTACTAAAATATTCAACTTCATCATTACTTCAAGAGGGAATGTTTAGCCCAGAGGTTTCCAACCTTGGTAACTTTAAGACTTCAACTCCCAGAATGCCCTAGCTACCCTTTTAAAGTGCACAAATTTTAAAGTTGTCAAGGATGGACATCCCTGATTTAGTCAGTTCAGTCTGTCCATGGATGACCACTGTGACTCATTATTATACTTGCTTTTTTTTTTGCATATAAAGTGAATTATAAAGTAAATTATGGCCATCGGACCTTTACTTCCTGATTTCTCCAGCCCTTTTTCTTCCTATTCCTATTTTTTCACACCCGGAGTCATGTCCTTCTCTATTTAGATTTGCATGGATTCTATCCTGAACCTGAAACAATACAAATATGAGAGATGGAGAAAATCCTGCTGTGGGTAGAATAACCTTCCAACAGGGGACAGATATATATTTCAAAGGGAACAAAAGAATCACTTGCAGTGTTCAGGCTTAGATGATATTCTATATAAATTGTATTTATTTCAATGGTAAGTTGGGCTGAAATAGAGAAACTAGCTGCCTAGCAAACTTTATGATCAAATGGAAACTTGAATCTGGGTCTTCTTAGTAAAGTCTGATAAGATTGAGGGGCAGAAGGCTTTAGGGATCCTCACATTCAGTGATTTTTTTTCATCATTAAATCTGGGTGAGGTAACACTGCCCCAACCAGGGTTGGTGCACAATTTGGGGCTCTCCTGGACTCAACAGTTCTTGCTCAAGGAGCACAAACCCAAAGGGGACTCTTTGCACACTTGTATTCCTAGACTGGGGGATATGGTTTATGTCACTCATGCCATAATTGGAGAAGTACAACACATTCTGAATAGCATTTGGAAGCTGGTCCAGATGTAACACTGTAACACATGTAATATTGGGCATGCCTTGAAGTATGCCCACACAGCAAACTGCTACAGGAATTGAACTAGTTTCTATAGACGATTCAATGTTCTAATTATCACCTTTAAAGGCCTACATGGCATGGGGCCAGAATATTTGCAGAATGTTTTTGGCCATCCCACAAGATGAGAGTGAGCATGTCTAGGTCCCATTGGTGAAGCAGTGTTTTTTTTAAGGGTCCTTGACTTAGATTTTTCTTTAATTGATTTGTAAATTTGTATGATATCTGTTCACTACCCAGAGTTCCACTGATACTTAACCATTATATGAATTTGTCTAATAAATAAATGTAAGTTTTATACTTCATTGACTGCCACATTTTGTTACTGAAAAGTGGTCAATTTAGAACGATTAATTCTTTAATGCTCACTCTTTCTGACAGTAGTTTCTTCCTTCTCCAGCTATGACCGAGGTGCTACTGTGGCAGGTATCGCAGGTGTGGGACGACTCATCACTGGCATGGACAGGGGCTTGCAAGGCATGTGTGTGAATGAGAGGAGGCATCTCATTGTGCCACCACACCTTGGTTATGGCAGCATCGGTGTTGGTGAGTATGAAACTTGTGATGTTGACTGGAAAGGAAAGATAGTGAGAGCAGAACTTTGCTTACATCTAAATTAGAAAGTTGCTTCTCAATCACAATTACAAATATGTGTAGTATTTTCCAGATTTCTTTTTTCCCCTCCGTGACATATATTTTTACCCATAATTGTTTTTTCCACTATTTTCTTTTCCAATATCTTCTAGCTATACGATAATATGTAAAGATATAATACTGTGTAAGGACACTGTACCTGATTTTCTCCTGGTCTCCATTATAGTGTATCTTATTTTCAAACCCTTAGCTGGTCTCATCCCACCAGACACCACTCTCTATTTTGATGTCATCTTGCTTGACATTTGGAATAAAGAAGACAAGTTGCAGATCACCACCCTCCACAAGCCACAACAGTGTAATCGCACAGTGGAGAATTCAGACTTTGTGCGTTACTACTACAATGGCACACTTCTGGATGGAACCCCCTTTGATTCCAGGTAAGAAATTCTGAAGTATAGAGAGCAATTTCTTGGCAGCTGAGAATAAAATATTTATAAAAAATAATCAATAAATGGCCACAATTGGACATATGATGACATGATATCACAAGGGTCATGATCTATGTGGTTCTACTGAAAGAAGTTTTCAGGCCACACTAAATCATGTGTCACTTGCAAAGTTCTTTCAGTTGCCTACTTTGGTGCTAACATATTACTGGTGGCTTGGTTCAGACGAAGAAAAAATATATCCAAGAAAGCAATTTCTATAATCAACTCAACAATTTCATTTTTTCCAGATTAGGAGCAGCAATCCCCAAACAAGTATACAGTTGCAGTTGCAGAAGCAGCAGGCATTTCCAGCCCAAGAAAATTAAGTTGATTGATCAAGATGTTGTAACTTTTTAACTCCGTTACATTTAGAAAGCAGAGATCCTTTTGCAAAGTCATTACTTTCTAACTAATTACAACAGGGTCTAATAAGAGTAGACTGATACCAATATTTCATCTTGAGTGATTATTTATTGCCATAGGCATCCACATTTCTTACTCTTTTAAGGTACTGTATTGGACCACTGCTGGCTGCTCAGTTTTCCTTCATTCCCTGAGCTGCTTCATCTACCTAGTATTCGATGTTTTTTTCTCTCCATCCTCTCTTGCCTCCTAGCTATGGAAAAGACAATACTTATGACACCTATGTGGGTTCAGGCTGGCTAATCAAAGGTATGGACGAAGGCTTGCTAGGGATGTGTCCTGGAGAGAAGCGGCAAATAGTCATGCCTCCTTTCCTGGCCTATGGAGAGAAAGGCTATGGTAAGCTGGTCATGAAATTCATGTATTTCTTCTGCATCAAGAGATGATCCTCTTCTTTTGCTATCAATTCCTGAATCACAAAAATATGCAGATCTACTAATTTGGATTTCACAGATAATTTATTTTGAGGACTTACAAAGCAACCACCATCCATCATTTGCAGACTTTATGCAGACAAGTAGACCTTTAGAGGGTGAGGATTATGGCCATTAGCTCTAGTCTTACATGGGACCCTTTGTAGTTTTGGAATTCTGTAGTTACCACTATTCTCCAGTTATCCTCCACCAAATAACCTCCAGTTATTTTGGGACTGCAGATCTCAGAATTCCCAGCTGGGTAGGAGAAATATGTAGATTATGTGCAGTGTTGGGATATGCTCAAAATTCTAAATTTTGTTCGTTCTACAAGTGCTGCTAGCCAATGAATACAGCTTTGCAACTGGGCATTTTTTTAAATGAATATCAAAATCTATTTCCACAAACATATCATCTTTTGTATTCTTCCAGAGTGAATGTCCACAAATGACCTACACATATACAGCATACTGTATCACCCAGCTTAAAAGCATTGTTATCACCCTATCTGGCTCAATTCATATCTGTGCCAGCCTGAGCTGAGTCCTTTCTTTTTTTTTCTCTTAGGTACCGTCATCCCCCCGCAAGCATCTCTGGTTTTTTATGTTCTTCTGGTGGACCTGCACAATCCAAAAGATAGTATCTTCTTGGAGCACTTGGAAGTGCCAGCAACATGCAAACGCAAGGCTGTGACTGGAGATTTTGTGCGGTACCATTATAATGGCACTTTAGTGGATGGGACCCTCTTCGATTCCAGGTGAAAATATTCTGAATCAGTTTCAAATTCTAATGACTACATGCCCATACAGTCTTTGTGGTATGGAGGTATGGCTTCCAGCCTGGTTCCTTGATGTTTATTTTATTTATTCAAATGTATTAGCCCCTAACTCCAATGGACTCTTAAGTGGTGTACAAAATTGGAGAATCAGGAAAAATAGATAAAATATCAAATCCAAAAGACAGTTCAGATTAAAAAGGATCGTATAAACAATACAAACAAACGAGCACCAGAAATACAATAATATTTTGATATATCAACCCCAGGTTTGGGACTAAAAACAGGTTGTAAGAACTTTGCAGAAGTTGCAGGAGCAACCTTCAGCCTTCCATCTGAGTCAGTGGTAGGATTCAAATTTTTTTACTACCAGTTCTGTGGGTGTGGCTTGGTGGGCGTGGCAGGAGAAGGATACTGTAAAATCTCCAGTCAGAGATGGTCTTTGCTGGTTCTCCAAACTACTCAAAATTTCTGCTACCGGTTCTCCAGAACTGGTCAGAACCTGCTGAATACCACCTCTGATATGAGTCCTAACCAGCCTTTTAGACATCAGCAATTGGCTGGTGCCATGACCTGCCAAGGTAAAAATGAAAAAATAATAATATTAGAATTGGAATTTACCTTGAAAAATACACCATCAGACAAGGAAACAAGTTGCTTAGAGACGTGATAGATTTCAGTCAAGGGACATTACCTAACATGGGTTGCTTTCTTAAAATTAGATGTTCAAAGTAGGGTTGCCACATGAGTAGGTTCAGCAGGACTGAAGTTGTACCTCTTTTGCTAGAATTAGGGCTTCCTGATCCTTTCTGGCAAATAGAATTCTTATAGCAACTGGGTACATGTGACAGAAGATTTGATGACATCACAACCTTATGCAAATGGCACTACAAATATTGCTATCCCATATAATAGATTCTGGCCTAAATAAAACAACATGTTTACGTTATGCAAGATAAAAACTGCTAAACCAAATTCTGGCGAATTATTTTACCATGCCATTCAAATAAAAATAGCTAGTAAGAAAGTGCTCCCTTGTTTATGTCCTATAGGTTGCTCCTTTCTTATCTTCATAAATCCAGATCAGTATATTCAGAAGGTCAGTATAGCAAGAAAGCGACTATTCAAGCAGGAGTTTCCAAATACAGACTAAGAGCAAGAAAAAAGTACACTGGGGAGCAAGAAATAGAAATTATCTGACTTCTGAAATCCTAACTATTTGATTTAAAAAGTGGTAAAGGAATGAGAGGCTTCCATATCTTTATTTCTTAAACCGGATTTATGCACCTTGTGATCTTCCCTCCCTTATTCAGGCCAAATTTAATTAAATGATCATAGACATTTTGAATGGTCTAGCTGAGAGTGAGCAATGGGTTTTGCTGTTAGTAACAGCCAGTTCTTCCCCACAATTTCTTTTCTCTTTCAATTCCAGTTATTCACGGAATCATACTTATGACACTTACATTGGAAAAGGCTATATCATCCCTGGAATGGATCAAGGACTACAAGGAGTCTGCATTGGTGAAAGAAGACGAATAACAATTCCTCCCCATTTAGCCTATGGAGAAAATGGGGCAGGTAGGTATCAAGAAGATTGGAGAAAGCTTTAGTGTTATTATAGTGAACATTTTTGTATGTAGAAACTTATATATTACCTTCCAAATGTGTTAGACATAAGCTCTTGTAACTCCCATTGTACAATACGAGATGTACAGTCCAAACACATCTAGAGAGATCTGTGAGAATTCTTGATCAGACACAGCAATCTGTATCTGTAAGATATAATTATATCATGAATATAAATTAGGCACTGTTAAATTTCGCCAAGAGTTCCCTATAAATCTGGAAGTGCAGATTTTAAGATGTCTTGAGGTATCTATGTGGCTCAATTCCTGTAGGGTTACCTGGGAGGTCCAGACAGATGAACCATTGGCAATAAAGTCCATGGAGATTCTCAGTCATCTGGTAATAGTTGTCTCAAAGATGTTTTTTTTTTTTAAAAAAGCAACTGTACTGTCCTCAAGGGGAAAAACAGTCCCATTGCCTTTGAAACACTATTGGCAATAAGCAATTATGACACTTGGAATACAAATATACTTGTAAACTTAAGGTAAATGTTCAGCTTTTTGTAGTATTTCCTTTTCTATTTTTGTGTGTTGTGCCATTTTAAAGAACATATTTTACCTGTCCTGGAAATAAATCCAGGTTGTTTGTGATGTATGGATTATAGCCAAGTTATTTTATAGGCCATTGATTTATTTGATTGGAATGGAGACACACTTTTCCTCTGGGAAATCAGGGTGGCATATATTGAACTCCATTCTCCAATATTTTTACCTTCAAACTATGTAAGATTAATAAAGACTGTCGCCAAGTAATTTTCTATGACAAGAGAACAGATATACATTTTTAACTCCTGATCAACTTATCTACTACATCACAAGGGCTGTCCTATAAAATATTAACAGAGCAGTGCTAATTAGGGTACCCTAACACCTATTCCCTCACTTTCCCTTATGGTAGAGTTAGTTCTGCTCTTCTTTTCCCTTGAACACACAATTTTAGGTGAGCATTGGTTGGCTTCTAAATCTAATAGAGCAACACTGAGATACAACAGATCCTGTATAGTGTCCAGTGTCTACAATTTACTTGATTCCTGCCACGGATAATTTGCATTCCATAATAGGTATTACTGTAGTGTGGAAAAAGTTTTCAGAAGACATGAAGTTCAAAATTCAGTGGGTTAGAATGTGAAACCAAAGCAGAAGAAATGGCTAAGTTTATTCTTCATGGTGATATGCTTGATTCTGCCTTCATGCAGTATGTGAACCTTATCAATTCTGATGTGTTAGATCACAGTTTGTCTCAACATGATGTGTATACCTTGATATCATAGCTTGTTCAACAAACTAATGATTAAAACAAACAATGAGTTAACGTATGTAAACACAGGGAATAGATCAAAGGACAATTGTTGCTTCATGCGCTGTTTGAAACTTTCTGGAACCCATGTTCCTGGAAAGAGCAGAAAATACCTTTGGTCAACCAAGTTCCACAGAAGACCTATGTATTATTCTCATTCTTTCTTGCATTCTTTTGTATTCCAGGGAACAAGATACCAGGCTCAGCTGTTCTTATATTTGACGTCCACGTTGTTGATTTCCACAACCCCACAGATTCCATAGAGATAGAGACCATCTTCCGCCCTGCAGACTGTAATGTCACCGCTCAGGATAGAGATTTTGTTCGCTATCATTATAACTGCTCACTCCTAGATGGCACCAAGCTTTTCTCCTCGTAAGTTCCTAGCTCCAAGTTAATTTCAGTTAAATACCTACCCTGCCTCACTGCAAAAATGCCAAAATGGAAATATTGAACAAATACACAACATAGGTATTTTTTTACCTATATGAAATAAATGTAACACTCCTGATTTGAATTCATTTTTCACCATCAAAGATTGACTAATCCCCATCTATCTCAAAATCACTATTATAAACCTGAAAACATTGGGACTTCTAAATTACAAAAATAGTTGCTTAAAATATTTCTTTCATGGGCTGTTTTGTGAGAATACCACAACTTTGTCAGTGTCCTATATTGCTTTAGGTACCCTTCTAAAGCAAAATAATATTGGCTAAATAAGGAGATAGAATAATTTGTATAATCAATACAGTTGCAGAATTTAAACTTCTTAAATCTAGAATTCTACAGGAAAAGTTTTGGAGAGCTAATAGGGGATGGAACACATTATTCTGAAAACCCAACAAAGTATTTTCAAGAGGACTCAGTGGCTTGTTTTCCACTAACAGGCATGATTATGAACATCCTCAAGAAGCTACCCTGGGTACCAATAAGATAATTGAAGGCTTGAACAATGGCTTACTCAGCATGTGTGTGGGAGAGAAGAGGATTGTCATTGTTCCTCCACATTTGGGGCATGGTGAAAATGGTGGTAAGGCAACTTCTTAGCAAACATTTCAGATTACCATTCAGTTATACAAGCTGAGCAGAAGAAATGGAAAAATAAACATTGGATGGATCCTGAATTGCTTTCTGCCTCACTTCCTCCCTCTCTTCTTGATATCATTAGTGAAAAAGTTGGTTTACTGTGTGTGTGGAAGGTGATACAGGTAGTCCTTGAGTTATGGTGAGCAGTCAGAAGACTATTAAATGAACTACTAACGCTATCAGAGCTAAGAGAAACATCTAGCAAGAAATGGAAAACTGGGAGGAATTTCTTATCACTAGCACTGGCCTTAAGTCTTCCAGTTTTAGTTTCACTAGCATTATGCTAGAAACCTGACACTGGTGGAACTAAGGCATTTAATGTTAGTGAGAAACTAATATTAGCAAAACTAATGCTGGTGGAACTAACGCTATTATTTAGTGTTAGCAAGAAGTCAATGCTAGTGAAGCTAATGTTGCAGACCTAAGGCTAGCTTTAGTGAGGAAAAGAAAACCAAGAGTATCACCGATGGTACGTTTCACTCAGAAAAATATGTACGCTTGTGGAATTGTGCTAGATAGCCCAGCAACAGAGCAGCCTTAGAAATGATGCATTCATTCTATCAACAGACTTAAATTTTTAGAAATGATAGTTATAATCTCTAATATAATTTAAAAACACCATTTATTAGAACAAATATTTCACTTGCTGTTGACTCACAGACCTTGTTTGCATGTCACACTAAGACATAATGTGATTCTTTGGGCAGATTAAGTTTAATATGCTGCATGAACACAGGATTTAGTATGCTGTATGAGCACAGCATTATATACATTGGTTTATTTAATAAACTATGGTCAAGTCCACAATAGCCCAAAGTAGTGTATGAACCAGGTCACTGTTACTGCTGCCTATAGCACTTTTGTGCATGCCTGGAAACTAGATTTCTGCATTACAGTTGGCCCTCTATTTATTTATTTATTTGTCAAACATGTACAAGTATAGGTATGAACATAAACATGAACAAAGTAAGTAAATACAGATAAATGGGGACAGCAAGACAGGGATGGTAGGCATGCTGGTGCACTTATGCACACCCCCTTTAAGGACCTCTTAAGAATGGGGTGATGTCCGCGGTAGACAGTTTGAGATTGAAGCTGTGAGGATTTGAGACTGTAACAACGGAGTCAGGTAGAACATTCCAGGCGTTGACCACTCTGTTGCTGAAGTTGTATTTTCTGCAATCGAGTTTGAAGCGGTTTATCTTGAGTTATATTGTTTGCCCGTGTATTATTGTGGTTGAAGCTGAAGAAGTTGTTGACAGGTAAGACGTAGCAGACAATTTTGTGTAATATGCTTAGATCGGACCGCAGGTGGCGCAGTTCCAAATTGTCCAAGCCTAAAATTTCAAGCCTGGAGGCATAGGGAATTCTATTGTGAGCAAAGGAGTGGAGTACTCTTCTCGAGAAATACCTCTGAACCTGCTCGTGTTAATGTCCGATATATAGTGTAGGTTCCAGGCGGACGAGCTGTATTCAAGAATTGGTCTGAAAAAGGTTTTGTATGCCCTAGTTAGTAATTCTATGTTACCAGAGAAGCAGCTTCGCAAAATAAAGTTAACAACTCTTAATGCCTTTTTGGCAATGCTGTTACAGTGAGCTCTGGGGCTTAGATTGTTTGACATGTGTACTCTAGAGTGAGGGTCGTCCATGAGATCATTTCTGCCCAACTTGTATTTGCTGTGCTCATTTTTATTGCCAATATGTAGGACAGAGCATTTATATTGTTACGCAAGGCATTTGTTAAGTGAGTTTTGCCCCCATTCTATAACCTTTTTGCCAGTTAAGTGAATCACTGCAATAGTTAATCACATGATTGTAAGTGAATCAAGCTTCTTTTAGTGACTTTGCTAATTGGAAATCAGCTGGTAATCACATGACCCTGGTATAATGCAACTGGGATAAGTTGCCAGTTGCTAAGTGCTCAAATTTTGATCACATGACCATAGGACTGATGCAAGTTCTATGAAAACTGATCATAAGTCATCTGGAAGTGAGAATATTCACTGAAATGGTCATGTCACTTTTTCAGTGCTGTTGTAACTTAAAACGGTCATTAAACAATAGTTTATAAGTTGAGCACTACCTGTACTGAGATGTTAATCTTTTTATTTAAGCCCGGGGTGTACCTGGAAGTGCAGTTCTTCGCTTTGACATAGAACTTTTACACCTGGAAGTTGGTGTTCCAGAAGGTTATTTGTTCATCTGGCATGGTGAACCACCAGAAAACCTGTTTGAAGCCATGGATCTGAATAAGAATGGTGAAGTCCCATCTGAGGAGGTGAGACTGAGTTCTGTTTTAGAAAGAAAGCAGCTGGCAAAGGGTTCAGAACTGGAAGGATAATTAGATTGGTTCTTATTGCCTAGTCCATTGAATGCATATGTTGGCAAAAAAGAAAGAGGTGTAAAGAAAGCAACAAGATTTTTACTTGTAGAATATGCATATAGTGTAGTTGGGGCAATTCCTGATATAAGATGGAGCTCTTAAAATGTTACCTAGTTTCTATAAATATTTGAACTGAATTGTTATTAAATCTACATTGAGGGGAAAAATTATTAGGGCACTCAAGTCAGTATACACAGTAAAATCAATATCTAATTAAACTGATTATTTCATCCTAGCTGCATTATTGCCAGAAATAAATCACTTTGTTTGAAATGCTACACATACTGGAAATCATTTGTAGAAATAATGGATCTATTATTGTCTTTTTTCTATGTCCATTCCGCAGTTCTCCACATTCATTAAGTCCCAGATTGCAGAAGATAAAGGTCATATGATTCCAGGCGTTGACCCAGAAAAAGTAATCACAGACATGTTTCAGAATCAAGACCGGAATAAGGATGGGAAGATTACAGCAGATGAACTGAAGCTGAAGTCAGATGAGGATCAAGTTAAACATGAAGAACTTTGAATGATAAAGAATCCCTTTTCTAAAAATGCTTCTGTTTGGTGGTATTTGGGGGAATAAATTGGCCCCCAATCACTTCCAGTGCTAGTTTGGGTATAGGAAGTCAATAGTTTTTCTCCCCTCATTTGGTTTTGCTTTGTATATTATTGGAAATGAGTTAAATGAGAAACAAAACCCAGTGGACTAAATGAATGATAAATCTCCCAAATCACTGGTTGCATATCCTTCCTGAAATTAATTTTTCCATCTCAATTGAATTCTGCTTATTTCCCAATTACAGCACATTGTCTTTCCTGTAAATGACATTAAAACAGACATTCTGCTTGGGATCTGTGCATTCAACTGTCCTAAATCAAGATAAGATAACAGATAATCAACCTTGTAGGTCATCTAGTTCATCTAGCCCAGGCGGGAGACTCTACACCATTTCTGACAAATGGCAGTCCAATTTCTTCTAGAAAGTCTCAAGTGATTGCGCTCCCACAACTTCCGAGGGCAAGGTGTTCCATTGGTTGATTGTTCTCACTGTCAGAAAATTTATCTTTATTTCCAGGTTAAATCTCTCCTTGTTCAGTTGAATTCACTATCAGGAAACCCAGACTGGCTTATTGAAGCCAAGTAAGCAGTATCAGGATTCTCTGTATTCACTATGTTTAGGTTTTTAAGGCAAACACAACCCAAATTAATTTTTTTATTTTTGGTATGTTAGAATATGCATTTTTTAAAATGGATGCTTAAAGGATTTAATTGGTTCAGCCTTTTCATGATTTTTGCTTTGAGTTTCTGTAACTGCTGTTAAAAGACAGGATTGTTGGATCAATTCTAATCTTGAAAATCCAGTGTCTTGATCAGAAGGGCATGACCATAATTTACTTTCCTTAAACCAGCTTTGGTTGCATTTTTCTCTAATGGGGTTCTATGATTAACTGATAAAATTAAAATCCTTTAACTCTTGAAATTCTTGAAGCAACCAGTTTACCATAAAAAACTGGCTGGTACAAATAATGTATAATGTTCTCATAACTTTTTCTGCCTGAGTAACTTGATTTTCTCATGCACTTCAAGTTATACATCAAGTCATTCAAGAAAGGTAGTCCAACACAGCAGTCACATTTTTGAAGGCACTTAAGTCACCAATGGAACAAATATTTATCATCACATAGAAGGTACAAAATTAAAATGTCTTGTGTTTCATCCACCTAAAAGTAGTATAGGACCCATTATCTTTTACTGAAGAGAACATTCAGAAATGTACAGTATCCAGAATTCTTTTAAATAAGCCGTAATGTTGAAATCAGTGAAATCACTACTAAGGTACATGCATAGACTTACACAAGTCTGGATAGTTTTTTTTTTTAATTACAATTGTTTTTTAAAAATTGTAGCATGTTGAAGTCAGTGGTGCTGTGGTAATTTTTAAAAAATTGGTTCAATTAAAGCAGATGAAACAAAATAAAATAGGCATACCAAAATGTTCAAAATAAGACATTTGTTTTATTATATTTACATGTCTTTTAAATAAAAAAAAATGTTGAAAATTTTGTGGAAAAGCTGAATTTGGGCCATATATATATAGTTCAAAAACGTTTTGGAAAATAAATGTTTCATGAAATCAAAATACAGAACATCAGAAATCCAATAGTCTGCATACAAGTCAAACAAAAATACTTAAATTATGCATACTTTTTAATTATCAGGGTTAAATATACTTGTTACACATATTAGTTTTTATTGGAAAAAGCTCAATAACTACTAGGGCCAATATGTATTATCCTTATTTTAAAGATAGTTTACATTACATCTAAATTCACTCTCACATCCAATTTAGAACATGCCCAAATACATAGGTTTCCAACAATGCTACTCACCCAGAAATCTGTTCAACCCACATTCCACAAGTCATTTGCATTAAAACAGCATCACCAATAATACCAAATTGTTTCCCACAGCAATATTATTTCAATAACTGCAATATGTCTTAAGGTGGACTGTACCATATTACCATTAATTTCTATTTTAGGAGAGACGGAGTGACAATAGACAAATCTAATCAGTATCACTCCTACGTTGTTTTTAAATAATATTTAATTAGTCAAATAAGTCTGATTCAGCCAAGAAAAAATTGTCTGCTAAATTAGTAGATATCTTGGTACAATTGTGATGCCATTTTAATTATCAATATAGTATAGATGTAAAAATAAGGTCAATGCTAGCAAGGCCCTGGTTAATTCTATGATTATGGGAATGTTAAAGAACACAGGAATATTCCAAAAGGAAACTAGTTGTCAAGAGTTAAGGGACAGTATATAGAGTTTGGGCAAGGATGAAGTGTAAAATGCCATTTACCACATCCAATGTTTCATCTTTCTCTAGTACAATATCATAAGCCTCAATGTATTTTTCCCGCCGTTCTTCTACCTGCATGGGACAAAGTATAAAAAGCAATTATACTATTAATTTCAACAAACATTCAGTCTGTGGTTTCTATAGACACTAATACTATGGTGTAACATTTTCTTTCTATGAAATGCCACAAGAAACCCAATATAAATGGCTAAAAATTCCACCTCAAGATCGAACTGGAAGAATTACCTCATGGTTATAATACGTAGGCTAACATTTGAACTATCTTGTTTCTTTCTCATCCCCCTCTTTCTTTGATAACAACTTGCCTGATGAAAAGTTTTGAAGAACATAAAAGCTGACAGACATTATGTATCACTGTAGTCGTTCTAATAAAAAAATCACAACTAGATAACAAAACTAGCTATTTCTCCTGTTAATTTCTCCTGCTAATAAAATATTTCAAGTCAGCTCTTACTATCATCTGGTAGATAAAATTAAAGCTTAGAGACCTAGAAAAGATTGATGCTGTTCCATCTTCACACTATTGCCCTTTAGGCAGAACCTATTTATTTGTAAGGTTAGAAAAGACAACAAGGCAGGAACAACATTAAGCACACAAGATAAAAGAAAACAGTTCTTACTTTCTAGTGAAACTTGTCATCTCTCCCAAGCCAACTACCTTATATGGCACTCAAACTCTTCTACTTGAAATAGGTGCTTTAATTTGCTTCCAGACAGGGTTTTCACTATCTGTTTTAGTCATCTAGATCAGCGGTCGCCAAGCGGTGGGCCACAAAATTTTTTTGGTGGGCCGCAGAGAAATGTCACCCCCAGAGCACCCCCCCAAAGCAATTAATCCAGGCTGTGCAGAAACACGGCTGCACCGCCCACATGGCCTGCAGGAACCCTCTCCACCCACTCACTCCTTACCCGGCAAACTTTCCTGCTAAGTTCTATTTTTGCTTTTTTTTTTTCTTGATCATCAGCTGTTCTGCTATGCCAGGATATTTAGATTAGCTAGAAAGCAGGAAATGGTTGGATTTCTTGCTTTCTAGCTAGTCTTTAGATCTTCGGCTCTGCTTTCCCTTAGGATTGAAGGTTCTATTATTCAGTGCAGAGTCACAGCAAGCAAATTTTATGTGACAGACTCACATAGACAATGGCAGATAGATAGATCAATGAATGATTCTGTGAACAACTCAATCTGCCTGCCTGCTTTGCCTGATTTTGGGTAAAAGTTGCCCTTTTTTATAAAAAGTCTTAGTGGTCCCTGGGATTTAAAATTATGAGTTTGGTGGTCCCTGAGGTCCAAAAGGTTGGCGACCCCTGATTTAGATACTCTCAACTCACCCTGTCATTCAAGAAGCCAATCCGGAGGATATTCTCCATGTCAGCAACACCATCTGCCATACTGAGATCACCCATGGAATCTCCAAGCAGTAAAATATTTTTTCTTGTGCACAGTTGCTGGAAATACTCTGTATTCTTCAGGACTGTGTTGTTCTTGTTATAGATGTGAATAAGAGGATCTTTGAAACCTTGTAGAACATCCTTCAAAGGCAAACAATGGGTTTATAATGTAAAAATGGCAAAATGCAGCTTAGGAGACATTATGTCTCCTTCCCCCCTCCCCGCCCCGCTCCTCAAGAGTATGAAATTGCTATTGGAAAAATGATAAATAGGAGGCTGGCACACTCTTTTAAGAATAATCTCACAAATTATAAGATTAAAAACCAGACTTTGATTAATCTGAAGGTTTACATCCAAAATCCACTGCTTAAGAACATTTCTGGTGCTTTCAAAGCCTAAGCAGCAGAGGCTCTATAAAAATGAATTTTATTAATAATTTTCTTAAACCATATTGAATTAAAGACATCCCTAAGGACTGAGGCAGCCAGATCTACAGGGAACAAAATTAACTAAAAGTTGAGAAAAAAACCCAACCTCCATGGAAATTAAGCCCATCTTCATAAAGCATTCTTAATATATTTTAGAAATGGCTCTACTAAACATAGTTTGAACAACCTCAAGGATACTGAACTTGAAAAGAATTTAACATACTTTTTGTAGATAGCAATAGCCCTTAAACTTATATACCATTTCACAATGCTTTACAGCCCTCTCTAAGCGGTTTACAGAGTCAGCATATTGCCTCCAACAATCTGGGCCCTCATTTTACCCACCTTGGAAGGATGGAAGGCTGAGTCAACCTTGAGCCTGGTGAGATTTGAACTGGCAAACTGCAGGCAGCCGGCAGGCAGCAGAAGTAACCTGCAGTGCTGCATTCTAATCATTGCACCACCATGGCTCAAACAGATAGTCCTCAACTTATGACCATAATTGAGTTCAAAGAGAGTTGAGTTTTGCCCCATATTACAAACTTTCTTGCCACAGTTGTTAAGTGAAATCTGATTTTCCTTTTGGCTTTGCTTATCATATGATACCGGACACCGCAACCATGATAAATATGAGTCAGTTGCTAAGTGTATTAATTTTGATTATATGACCATGGAGATGCTGCAAAGTGTGAAAACTATCATAAGTCATTTTTTTCAGTGCTGTAGTATCTTCAAACGGTTACTAAACAAACTGTTATAAATTGATCTGTTCATAAATGTTCTACTTTGGACAGCAAAGATTGAATATTTAAATATTTTCAAACTATATACATTTCTATTTCTACATTCTCCATGAAAATAAATAAACCAAGATCCTTCAGACTGCAGGTGCTATTTCATATATAAATTTCTCACAGGAAAAGAATATGGACAGAAAGGATGCACCAAGTCCTTCCCATATCTTCTGCTTTTCTACATATAATATTTTTAATATAGGACAAGTCATAGTGTTTACAACCAAAATAGCACAGCACAACCCAAGTTTTTACCACTTTGAAAAAAATTAGATCCAAGTCCCTAAGATATTCACTGTAACTGCAGTATTCAGAATTCTGTACATTGTGGCAAACCCTGGAAGTTTGTTATTTATTCTCTGATTCCACAGGAAACAGATCAGAGGAGATGAAGTGGGCAAAAAGAGATGATTCAACTCACATTGTCATCGAAGTCCATATAGTTGGCGACCACATTGATGTTAGGGTGGAAAACACCAGCCTGATGAATTATTTCCTCTAGGACATCACCTATACCTGCTGAAAAGATGAACAGGGGAACTTTGTTCTCATGCAGCTGGTCAAAGAAAATGTTGAAGCCATCTCTAAGTGCAAGAAGAAAGAGAAAGATAACATTAGGCTAATGTTGTGAAATGTGAGCATTTATATTTGAAGGGCATCAGCAAAGTCCCAATGTTTCTAATAAATTAACTCAAAAGGACAATGATTTCTTGAAGTACACAAGTGCTGACAGAAAAATGTCCTTTTTATATTATCAACAGTAAACAGTGAACTTATCCACTGTCTTACCACTTTCTTAGAACAAATAAGGATATTCAGATTGAAAAAGACAAAAGCTTTAGACTATTAGCTAAAAATTAAAATAGCATATGATTTTCTAAAATATATAAAATCATAAAATCTTTATTTATACAAAGTATAACTTTCTAGATAACGCACATGTCCTTAATTGCAATAGTTCCGGTGAATAAATTGATTGCTTAGTAGGAAATATAAAATTTATAATTTAAATCCAGTATTTAAATGTATACTTTAGGTGGATGATTTAATCAATGGCTTGTTCTATCAACTGAAAACCATGCACATAAATATCAGATAGTAGCAAAGCCTTTTCTTGAAATATGAGTTCATGTTGGGTAGGAAACCTTGCTATAAATAGTTCTCAACTTCTAACCATTTGTTTAGTAACTGTTCAAAGTTATAACAGCACTGGAAAAAAAAAAGACTTACAAATGATTCTCATATTTACAACCATCATAGTATCTTGGCAATCATGTCTTTAAAATCCAGGTACTTGGCAACAGTGTGTATTTATGACAGTTGCAGCACTGGGGTCCTATGCTCGTCATTTGCAACTTTCCCAGAGAGCTTCCAACAAACAATGTCAGTGGAAGAAGCTGGATTTGCTTAACAGCACAGTGATTTGCTTATTGATCACAGTAAAAAAGATAAAACTGGGTGTGAGTCACATAACAATCATATTGCTTGGAGATAGATGCTCCAGTCCCAATTTTGGTCATAACAGAACCAGTATGACTAGTGATAAAGATGTTGGCATGGAAACCAGGAGACTATGAGCTCTAGTCCTATCCTTTTATTTATTTATTTATTTGTGTGTGTGTGTGTGTGTGTACACACACACATACACACACACACACACACACATATATGTTCTGTCACATACACATACACACACACACACATATATATATGTATCCACAGGTGAGAGTCCAAAGTTCCAAAGTACAAATGCTCAAACAGACAGTCTCAGACACGGCAGAGTTAACTGCTTCTGTTTACACAGTCCTTGGCAGTCTTCCTGGAATCTGTCTGGCAAGTCCGAACTAACCATAAATCAAGACGCTGCAGCCTAAATCAAGATGCTGCAGCCGAGTGTATCAGGCGTAGCACTAACCGAAATGACACCTTGCTTCGAACAGAGATTCAGAGCTAGCACACTTCCTTATATTCCCTAAGGGGCGTGTCAGTCTCTTTTCTGTGTCCGTTGGATGGCCCCTTTCTGCTTACGTCTTTGCCGTGCGTCTATCCAACATTGCTCGGTTTGTCCTTCAACTAATGACTCCGGCACACTCTCCTGATTGTCTGTTAACAACACCTGAGGTTCAAT